GTCATGTCTTTTAAATACGGTAATACTGGGAGACAGTCTGATGTATAATTCTGCTCCCTCTTTATAAACTATACAAATGTTTGAGCAGATGACAGCAACTGATGTGGAACAATGATCAGTGATTCTCCAGGGCAAGCTCTTCCCCCATTTGGGTTTCACACTTGGTTGACTGAGGTCAGTACTCTTTCTATGAGAGAGAGAGAGAGGCAGTTGGACACAGCGGCTGGGCCCCAGGCTCTGGAGCTGGACTACCTGGGTTCATATCCCTGGCTTGCCACAGACTAAGTCTGTAACCTGAGGCAAGTTACTTAACCCCTCTGTGTAAGCTTCCTTACTGGTGACATGGGAACAGTAAGTACCCTTCTTCTAGCCCAGTGTTGATGATTAAATGAGTTACAGCATGCCTGCAACACAGTATATGCTAATTCTAGAACTCTTAACTTCAGACTTTTGAGCCCTGGCCCAATCTCAGATCACTGGGGCAGATTTGTAAAACCACAAACATCTGGACTCTAACCTCAGGGTTTCTAACACAGGTCTGGGAGAAGCCTAGTTTTCAGGGTTCAGAGAAGTTCTTTAGGAGATTCTGGTAAACAACCAGGTTGTTTTCAACCATTAAGAAAGATGGTCAATGAATAACTCAATGGACTCCATCAAGAGGATAAAGAATAGTACAGGGCAAGCAGTGAATGAAATTCAAAATTATTTTTGGAAGAATTATTTGAAAAATAAAATACTCATTGAGTCTCTCCTCCAATCCATTTTTATGCTTAGTTTACATTTAAAGCACTAAGTTTTAAATTGCTACTTATATTAGAAGAAAAGAAAGCTAGATTAATCATAGCCTTAGTAGTACATGTGACACAGAGGGCTTAAGTAAGGATGAAATTCTGGTCATATGCTGTGGGGCTGAAATAGCAAGGAAGTCTGTGATTTAAATCTAGGCACTTACTTTTAGGAGCCAGGCTGCTACTGAGATATAATTCTGACCTCACTGCCATGTGACCTTTTTGAGCTTCTGTATTCTCAAGGGTACAGCAGAAGGAGTGCCAAAAAGTAGTGGTATGAAGGATAGAATAACACAATAGGTGCAGAGCTCCTGGCACACAAACTTAAAAGGATCAGTGGCCGTGACCAAAAGCAGTACATCTCTGTTACACCTTCTGAATTCTAGACTCATCTTCTGTCTGGTAGGAAGGTGTTAAAAAACAATTGAAATTGGACAATACTGTTATTGTTTTTTAATTATTTCATCATGAGATATATTTTCCCATACATTTTCCACATGGCTGCTTTATGGATAAAGGCGGGGTTTCACTGGTGACTGTCAAGTGCCCCTTATTAGTAGTCAGTGTCTGAATCCCAGGGCCCCTTTAGCAGGGCACAGTGAGGGAGGAAGGCCAGCAGTGAAAGGGGTCCAGCATGGTCATATTCTCAGTTAGCCCTGAGCAGACTGAGCTTATCTGTAGGATTTTCTGTGACTTGTCTGGTGCAGGGTGATCTCATTGAGGGAAGTGGGGCTCTGACCAGATTAAAATGGGAGAGAGCAGAGTGAGAGCTCTTGTCAAATGCTAAGTAGCTCTCTGAAGGTTGTGGGATGAACCTAAGCCTAGATGCTTCTCTATCTGTCCCTCAAATCCAGTCTCTGCTCTGCAATATCCTGGCCTGAGGCTGAACTCTGAAAGTGGCACCCACCAGGCCCCCTTGCCCCTCGTTTAGTTTTCTCTCCCATCCATTTTTATGCTTCATTCACATTTAAAGCACTAAGTTTGAAATTGCTAACTTTGCATTGGGTTTGGTCAGTTGGAGCATAGGCGAGATTTCTGGCAGTGATTTCTGCCTATGGCCTCCATTCCTCTTAGGCCCCTCTCCTATAGCCACAGCTACCACCACAACTCTCAGAGGGTCCAAAATAGCTCCCTTCCTTGCCTGTTTGCGCTAGAGAGTGGTGACATTTTCCTGCTCTTTAGATAAAGTAGAGGTGGAGTAAGGAGGTAAATTATCAGCTGTTGTTAGTTAGTGTGAAATAGTCTTTCACTAGAATTTCTTCAGCTGCCTCCTTTTGATAGCATGTCTTCCCTGTCATGACCCTGATTGATTTATACCAATCTATGTTGCCAGAGTCCATTTAATTCCTGTCTGTAAGCCCCACCGATCTTCAAAGCTAGACACAAATTTACAGATGAAGTCTCTCTGTCCCTGTCTCTCTCTCTGTCTCTGCCTCCCTCTCTCTCCCTGTCTCTTCTGTGTCTCTGTCTCTATTTCTGTCTCTGTTTTGCTCTCTCCTTCTGTCTCCCTGTCTGTCTGTCCTTCTCTCTCATTTCATGACGGAACAAACCAGAGCTCAACATTGCCTGCTAAGGCTGTCACAGCGTAATGGTCAGTAATCCAGCCTGTGCTAGAAAGCGGATGAGATTTCAGCCTGGCACTTCTTTGCTGTCTGGCCTTGTACAAGCAAGATCCTTGTTCACATCTGTCTCCATTACCAGGTAACTCGCGGTCATCTTCATCTTGTTTTCTCAGAGCTCCCATTTTGTGCTATAGTGGTCAGGGGTATTTTTCCCCACAATCTTGTCTGGCACTAAATCCAACTCCATGCTGTTCTTCAGTCTCTGAGGGAGCACCAGAGAGCCCACCTCAGCCGAGGTACCAGAACAGCAGGCCTGAGGGCCCAGCAGGAGCCTTTCCAGACATGGAAAAGTCCGTGATTACAGCACAGGCTCAGGGCCAGCCCAATCTGCTGATTAGATTCTCCACACCCTGCCAACCAGCCAGGACCCTGGGCAATCTATGAAACTCGTTATGCCTGTATTCTCTTATCCTTAAAATGGAAAGAATTATAATTCCCAATTCCTGAAGATTTGCTGACTTTATATGAGTCAATGCATAAATGCACTTATAATAGCTATTATATGATGATTAATATATTTAAAAGCCCCTGCCTGCTTTTTTTCTGAGCCTCCCTTGTTCACCGAAAGCCCAGTGGGTGGGGAAAATGGTTCCCAAGCAGCTGTCTCCCCTGTCTGAAGCTGCCTGCATGTGACAGTACACTGTAGAGAAACAGCTACACCAGGTTAGAGCTGGTCCTGACTACAGAACAGGACCCCAAGGAAATGATTTCCTTCCTCACTCTGGCTGTAGTCAAGAGTGATGAAAATAGGCAGAGCTGCTGGCACTGTGGTGGTGGTGGGAATCTGCCAGTAACTATGGAGACTATGAAAAGAGCCTTCAGAGAGCCCTGCGGCTGCTTTCAGAGGAAATTGCTCCTTGCCTTCCAACACTAGCATGTGCAGTGTTGTACAAACACAACTCTGTTCTCTTTGGAGCTTTGTCTTAATGATCATGCCCCTTCTTTCACACCGGAGCCTTCTGAATGTTCCAGCCAAGGGAGCAAGAAAAGCCCCCGGGGATCTGAAAGGAGAAAAACTTGGACCTGCTGAGAAGCAGAGCATGCATAGCAGGAAGGGGCCTTGTGAGAGGAAACCTGTGTTCCTTCGCTTTTGTCAGTTCAACATGTCTTCGTGTTCATAATTATAAACCACTTATTCCTGCATCTGCTTCCATCTCCACTGCACCAGGGTTTGGCTACAGATGTAGACTGGCACCGATTGGCTTGCTGGGGAGTTGTTTCCATGAAGAAATCAGAATTCCTCAAAGGCCAAGGGTTAGCTGAAGTGTCCCCTTGGCTTGTTTAGAAGCAGCTTTAGTTTGAGGCTTCCCTCTGAATACTCTCCAGTGAACATTAAGTGGAAGGGAGCTTGCTCAGAGGTTTTAACACATAAATAAACACCTTATGACCCGTTCATTATGCTTATTATGAGGACAAAAATTGGGATGTAGCAGCATTAATGAAGGTGGCAAAGAAGTTTATGGAGGCCAGAATGATTGGTTTTAATTTTCACTGGGTTCTGAAGTCTAGCAGTAGTCCACTTCCCTGCATCAACAGCAGCAGGAATGCTGTTCACGTCCCGGCATCCTTTGCAGCAAGTGTGTGTGCCACCCAGTAGGACCTGCATATGTGGATCTGTGTGTGCCAAGGTGAAGGCCAAGATGAGAGCTGGTGGAGCTTCAGAAACGATATCATTCCTTAGTGCTGATCTATGATATGACTTTCTATTTATCTTCCATCACATCATCATTATCATTATCATTATGGTTAATATTATCAGTCTCATCATCAACAACACTTCCTGAACATGGACAATGTCTGGGCAATATATAGGGTGCTGCATTCTATATTTCCTACATATTTTTTTGCTTGCTTCTATCTATATTCCTATAATATAAGGGCTTTCATTCTCCCTACTTTCTAGAAAATAAAGTTATATATTAACTTGACCAAGACAAACTAATTGGCAAGAGATGGCGCCAGATTCAAATTCAGTCTGACTTCTGGTCACTCTTGACCTCAGCCTAAAAAGGATATTAGTTACATGGAGGAAGACAAGATAAGTGAAGAAACTAGACAAAGAGAAAAGGGTAGAATAAAGAGGACGTGATAGCACTACATACGTGCCAGAGTTGGGATTTCAGTTGGGTTTTGAGTTTTCTAAAAATATAAAGAGAGAAACATGGTCATAAATCACAGAGTACATGTAATAAAATACAAAATAATTTTTTGGAAGCTCAGAAATTCCTCTTTTAGGAGAAGTTTTTACTGTGGTAGCTTGTATAGGGTATTTTAGATGCTGTAATGAGTAAAAAATGTACTGACAGTGAGCCCATAAGTTTTGTAAGGCGCTTTCTTATAAGGTCTCTCAACACAGGTCAAGGGCTTATTAACAAAATATGGCCAATCTGACAATAGTAGGTCTGAGAACATGGCAATCTGTTTGGGCAGGTTATATTCATAAGTCAGTAGGCAGTTAATTAGCTCTTCTGTGCCTCGGTTTTCTCATCTGTTAACTGAAGACAGAAATACTACCTACTGCAGATAGCAGTGGTAAAGATTAAATGAGGAAGAACATGGAAAACATTTAGAACTTTGGTCAGGACATGATGACAACCAATGCCATTGTCACCTTCATTGTAGGCTAAGTACAGACCTATATGCTTCAGTGCTCAGCCAACCTGGCCTCAGCTTGTGTGGTCCTGGGGAAACTGAGTGGTCAGACAAGCTCCCAGTGTCCTGATAGAGGAGCTCTGCCTTCCGCATCATGGTGATAGGAGTAAGAAGTACCTACAAACCAGAACTTTTCTTTTTTATTTTTATTTTTTCAGAAAACAATTCAAAGTTTATGTAAGTACACAAACAAATGGATGACTACCGTCAGGCTCTGCGACAGAGTATGGCTTAGTTTGTGCTTTAAAAAATTTTTTTTTTGAGACAGAGTCTTAATATGTAGCCCAAGCTGGTCTTGAACTCATGGCAATCCTCCTGCCTCAGCTTCCCTAGTGCTGGGATTACAGGCATGTGCCACAACACCTGGCTTCTGCTTTAAATATTTAATGCAGATGTTATTTAGTACAATTTCTGCCACGACTATAAAATTTCTTAATAAACCTATAAAATATTTAATTTTTAATTATTAATTTCATAGGAAATTCTTTAAGGCAATCTGAGTGCTAGATGTTCTTTAGGTAATTAAGCTAGTTGATTTGCTGCATGAGTTGTTAGAGTTTAACTGTGTTGATTTGGAGGACATTTACTAGGAATAATACTTTTGGTTTTGGAATAATTTCAACTTCTGGATTTTATTAGTTAAAGCAGTTAGTATTATTGCTGACTAAAGCAGGATTTTATCTTTCAGAATCAAATGTCCATTCAGGACAACACAACCATATCATCAGTACACACAGACAGATATTTATTTTTCTGGTGTCAACTCATCCAAAGGTGATGGTGATATAATTAGGTACAATTTCAAGAGATGGTGAGGCCACTGCTCTCTGCTCTCCTCCAGTTACAGCAATGTAAGAGAAATCCTAGCTTCCAAAGGCACGGCTGGACATAATAAAAAGAAGATATTCAAGTCCACAAAAGAGGACATACACGTGGATTGGTTTTCAATGTATTATAGCAATGATTTTAGAGGATGAATGCTATTGTTGACCTAAATGACCCTGAATGTAATTTTGACTAATAAGGCTTAGTTCACCTCTCATGTGTCATGAGTTGATGGCAAAGCTAGCTAGCTTTTCACCAACATCCATGTCTCCTTTTCATGGAAGGGAATTATAGATGGGATTTAGATTCTTGGCAAGGGACATATTCCCTGGACTTATTAAGACCCACAGTGTTCCAATGACTAGTTTAATGGAATGTGAACAGAAGCGACAGTATCATTTTCAGGATGAAGTTTTAAGAAAAAGGTGAAGTTCCCCATCTACAGGCTGAAAGACTGGTACTCTGTGATCCTAGGGGACGATGGAGCCACAGATGGGAGAAGCTCAAGTCCCCGAATTGCCATACGGAGGGGGAGCAATTCATCACTCAAGGGCACTAGGTATACTGGACTGTTAAATGTCTGAGAAGAAAACTTTTATTGTGTTAAAACACTGAAGCTTTGGGTTTTATGTTACAGTAGCTTTTGTTACCATAAGTTAGGATTTTGTCTCCCAAAAGCAGTTAGTAGATTTTAAATGGGCCACTCTGAATGAGGCAGAGAAAGGCAGTTAATTGCAATAAATCAAGGCAGAATAATCTTAAAAGATAAGTTTTAAACTTATTTTTTAAAGACCACTCTTGGAAAAACAGTATAATGTATGTGGTTGTCTGGAAAAGTCATTCTTGTTTCTTTTTCTTTGCTTTTTTTATGTAAAATTCATCATAAGGGAGTCATCCCCATTATACACAATGTTTATTGATTGTTAACTGTCTGGGCTTCTCTAAATTTCCTTGCTTTGTTGAGCTTTGGGTAAATTCTAGTTTTCTGTTATTTCTGGAAATAACCCAAGGTAATAAGAGGCAAGCCTTGGGAATGGTCCTGGAATTTCCCAAGCCCTTTTTCTGTAAAAGTGACTGAAATGAAGAAATCTTATTATCTTTCACCTGATTATGTCCTTTTCTCCACAGCCCTGCAGAGCTCTAGATTTTAGTTTGGCATGTGGTTGTAGAAGGCAAAGCAGACAGAAACCTCCCTGTGGCGCTGGCCTGTGGCCTAGGCCTGGGGGACACCACATTCCTGCCAAAGTATGTGCTGCACAAGCATAAGTGAAGCAAGCACCCCCAATAGTACCATTTCATAGTAGGAATTACTGTTACCAGTTGGTGAGAGAGGCTTTCAAAAGCATGGAGACAGAGGCCAAACAGACACAAAGCAATGCGGAAATTTCCCTTGCTCTGGGCAAAATCTTTTTTTCGTTGCTCAATTGTCTTACAAAAATCCAACCTCCTTGTATAGCCACTTTCTTTGAGTATCTTCCTCCACATGGTTTCCAGGAGCCCACACTTCTGGTTTTCTTCAAGCCTCCTACCCCCAGCTCCTAGATACAAGTTAGGTTCTGGGTTTAGACAGCAATCTCTCTGCCAAATCATGTTTTTTTTTTTTTTTAAAATCATGTTTGATATTCTTCAAAGTGCTTGTCATTATTAGAAATCTTGTTCCTTTGTTTGCCAGTGGGTCACTTAACCCTTCTCTGGGACTAGAATCATAGTTGGTCCATAATAAAGGCTCAGTAAATACAAATTGAATAATAATACATATCTAACTCAACCAATTCAATAGTTTTCAAATAATTGACTGACTAATTGAATGAGTTCATGAATTCTGAAGCAATTCTTCTTAAATCAAATTCTGGGAGAAAAAGTTCTTATTTAAATAGAAGGGGAATGAGAATAGAGTTTAAGATTTTTATGCTCTGTCTGCTACAACTTCAAAAAAATTTTTTAAATAGGATAAATTTTGTTTTTATCAGCTACGGAGGAATGGATATTAGATGATTTTCTAAGGCAAGTTGGGTCTCTCCCAACTTGTATGTCGTAGGGACCTGGCTGCTTACCTCACATCAGGCTCGGCAGTGGCAGCATGAAGTGGAAGGCGGCCATTTTTATCCGGGATATTGTGCTTGGCACCATTTCTGAGCAGACTCACACAGCCTTCAAGCCAACCCTGAAAGTCAGGAGCAACCACATGATTGTGTAACATAAACTATAACAGGGGCACCAGACTTTCTGTAGTCCTATTCTTCTCTTTGGTTTGGCTAAAAGCATGTTTTATTTGACTTGAAGTAGTTAAGGACCACAGTTCCAATTAGACACCTCAAGAGAGGCTGAAAATCTTGAGGTACAGATTTCCAAGATTTCTGGAAGACCAACCCTAGACTCTCTTGTCTCCCACTTCTTTCCAGGAGCACTCTAACTCCATTGATATGCTCAGTCTGTACCAGCTTCCCGGGCCACAGGTGACACGTGACAGGGGATTTAACCTGATTTAGCTCCTCATTCTGTGGGCTTATCTTCAAATCATACTTGTCTGTGCATTTTTTTTGGATGTCAATGTCCAATTCTAAAAAAGTAGACTCCTATACCATTTCCGAGTCCCAGCATCCGTTCTTCACCTCAGTTTATCTGTCTGATGCACAGACCTGGTCCCTCTCTTCCAAGTACTTGTACTAGCAGCTATAGCATAGCATCTTATTTATTCTAGTCAGTTCCCATCTCAACACCTAGAAGCCTAAATTGAGCCCCACTCCAGTGGCAGAGATCTGATGTTAACAGCCTGAAACCATAAACATGGGGGTATCATGAACATCTTCCAAGGACTCCCCACTGATATGTTTTACTTACCTATGAATCCCCCACTCCCTGCTGTCCAGTCATTGTTCAGATTGAGAAGTGATATTACCACAGCCCATGATTGTCCCTTCCTTGGCCAACACTTCTAGCTGGGTCACTTTCCTGTTATCTTTCCCATTTCAACAGGCAGGAGTAATCTCTGGCTAGCCCTCCCTCTCTGCCCCATGCTACTTTCAAGTTTGGCTCTCATGTTGTGGAGGAGGTCTCCTACATTCGTCCAGAACTGCTAGGGTTACTCAACCGAATTATACATAGACTAACAATAAATGAAGCTATTATTGTAAAGAATAATGTGAGAATTCTCTTTTCTGTCAGAAGCAGGCTTCCTGCCTTTCTCTATTTGTGTATAGTTAAGCCTCAAAGTTTCCCAGTAAGATGAAAAAGATGACTAAAGATTTCCCCCCTAACATAATATTGGAAGCATTAAAAATAAAAAATGTTAGTAAGTGCAGGAAGAAGAAGGAACAGAATGATAACAAAAGAACCTTTCAGTTTTGAAGTCTGGAAAAGATCTGTCAACAAAAGTACATCAAAAATCATAGGTTGATTCATAGTTTACTAGTATATTAAGCCTGTTTTTAGTTCCTAATGTCTAAGTCATCAAGTTCTCAGGTTAAAAGGAGAAAGAATAGACAGGAGACCCAAAAGAAAGAAATAATGAATAAATCTTAGAGTTGCTCAAGATTTACAGTTTTTGAAAAGCAGATCTGTGGTGGGGAAAGATTTGAAACACTAAAAAACATAATTTTGCAACATTTCCTGGATCTCCATGTGTATCTGTGGTTTTCTTTCTTTTTTCTTTGTTCTTTTTTCAGAAAAAAATAAGGAAGCTATTGAAGATATCGTAAATTATTACTATTCAGAGCCGACTACGTGCTGGTTGACTCCACGTGCATTTCTCCTTCCATTGTGATAAAGTTAGGTTATTGTTTTTCCTGCACTTTTCAAATGAAGAAAGAAGCACAAAGAGGTAAAGTGATTTGCCCAAGGTCACACATAAACTCTACACTGACTTTACAGCTAACTCTGAACACTTGAGTCCCAACACTGTTGGGAAAGAATGGTGGGCTCCACAGTACAGTCCCCAGGACAATGTTTTGCCTCAACAGAGGCAGACAGCAGGGGTCACATAGAGGCTGGTCATAGTTAAGGATGTGGCACTGTTATGGAATACTGGGGTGGTGTCCCACAGTGATGAAGAATGAGATTGTAGGATGGAGGAGGTAGGGTGCAAGTAAATTTATTTAAAAAATATAAAGGCAAGGAAGTAAAGTTCCACTAGCCTAGAAGGGGATTCTGAGTAGAATATCCATGAGGGCTTTTTGTGTAGGGGTTTTAAAGGGATTTGGAAGGGAGTTTAACCTGTCGTGTTAAGCAATAAAATCTCTACCCTATAGGAGACTACATATTTTGAGGGGTCCAGTCTATGCAATGTCCACGCACTGTCCATGTAGAGCCAATGCACACTTGAGTGAATGGCTTGCCTGATCATGCTCTGGGGAGGGCCAGACAGCCAAGGACACCTGGCAGATGTTTCTTTGAGATCCTGGGAAGGTCGTGACTGAACAGACTTCTTTCTGCGCTTCCTGACTCCGTTTTGGGGCCACTGTCCTTACTGCCCAATGGAATCCTAACTGCTATCTCATTAATACTGTCTCTTACAGCACCGCATGGTATCATGCAGCTGTTTCCCTCACCCAGCTCCTTAGAATGCCTTCCTATAAAGAGCTGTCTGGAAAGGTGTCACCTTTTCAGCCTCAAGAATGTCCTTTATGATTCACTTTGGTCTAGAAAAGCACTTCTTCTAAGTCCCTTGCATGATGGTCCAGCCAAAGAAATTTGAAACTTAGAATTTTAGGAATTTGAAAGAAATAGTTTATTCTCACCAAATGCTAGAGGCTAGTGGCAGTAAACTTTAGAAACTATTTCTACCTACTTCTTTAACCACTTGGTCTAAATTTTCTCTTTTCTTCAACTCAGATACCAAAAAAACATATCTGCAGCAAAAGCAGTTATCATGGCATGTGCTATAATGGAGAGGACTGGGAAGACAGTCACATATCTGTCTGAGATATGGGACCTCAACTAGTACCCACAGAGCAGTGGGTTTCAAACTTTAGAGAGCACAAAAATTACCAGTGAAGTTTGTTTAACCCACAGACCTCCTCTGCCCCAGCCCCGTTCCCCAGATGTCTGACTAGGAGGTCTTGGGTGTACCTCAGGAACATGCATTTGAAATAAGTGCCTTAAGGGATATTGACACAGAAAATATGTTCACCACGCCTTGAAAAACTCTTTCCAGATGGGTTTAAATCCTAGAGAAAGAGTACATACAAATACATAATGAAAAATTAAGTTCTGAAGAAATCTCTGTGAGGGTTGGGCAATACATCATTGCATTCTATGCTGGACTGTGGCAGGAAAGGGTGGTGAGTTTAAAGGAGGGAAGTGCTTTGCTTCAGCAGGGCACCTCAGTGGGGCTGGTACAAGGGGAATCTATCACCTCAGTGACAGCAATAGCAAATACATGCGTCAGCAAGCACAGGGAGATGGGGGCCATGATGAAGATTTCTGAGCACCTTGTCGGCAAGAAAGAAGAATGATGCCTCCCACATGGCAGTTAGGACTTGTTTGACACTCAAGGCAGCCCCGGGGCCTTCCAGAAGTATCACTGGGAGCATTTGAGAAGAGAGGGCTCAGGGATTTTCAATGAGTCTTAAACAAGCTTACTTTAGGGTTGAAGAAACATCAAACTGACATATCCACTGTGAGGCCTGGCATCGTGCAGCTTCTAACTTGAGCCTGACTTGGAGCTGTACCCTGATATCTCCTGGATTTCCTTCTCCCCTTCTCCTTCCTAGTTCTCACTGTATCTCATATTCCTCAGCCTGAAGCATCCATTGAACTACTCCTAGCGCCACAGATGTTGACTGGATCTTCAAAAGGAGAGCATCTTTGCTGGGTTATTTATGGAGGGTGCTCTTTCATAGAGGGACCTGAAAAGTCCCAAGTTCTGATGCTGTTCAGATAGAAAAGAATGTTTCCCTAATGGTGCTATCTCCTGTCTCATAACATTGGGAAGATCCATTACTTAAATCCATAAAAGCAACTTTAAGTGATGATATAAATGTTGAAGATGATAGATGTAAAGCTTAGGTCCTATTTCCAGTTACCAGCTCCACTAAGAGCACTTGTCTTCAAGAGGGACCCCCCAGAACAACACCTTTAGCATCCCTGCTTCTTAGTCCTTTTAACAGACACCAGTTGGTACCAGGTAGGTCGCCAGGCATAAACTCGTGCGGCCATAAGCGTCCTGCATGTTAATGTTGGCCCCCATCTTCAGCAGCAGCTTCACTGTGTCCACTTGACGTCCAGAAACCGCGTGCATCAAGGGCGTGCATCCTGGAACGGGAAATGTCAGCAGCCTTTAAAAATGTTTGACTGACAAAATTTATGAACAGGCTTTATTTGTCTATTCATTCATCTGCCTTTTGCAGAACAAATCCAGCTGTGGAACAGCTGTATGGGCTCAAGGAAGATGAAGATGATTTTGCCTCATTTATGTATAAATTATATTTATTTTTCTGGCCTTTTCTCAATCTTACGCAATTTTGCAATAATTGGTTGATTAAAACATTTTGGGCAGATGACAAAAAAATCATGCGTGGTCAGCATAATTTGGGACTTAACAAGAAGGTTCATTCTGACTTGGCTTGAAAAATCCAGAACCCGGAAGTACCTTTGGAAAGCAACTCCAGCCAAGCAGACAGGTCCAACATGCTTTTATTGGAGGCTGTGGATCATAAAGTTATGTGGTAGCTTAGCCTTGGGTTGTACAAATTCTTGGTAAAGGAGCCACCTGTAATAAATACTTCTCTGCTTTTAGAATCAAGATAGGCAAAAGCATTTGGCTTTTTAAAATGTGTTTTCTTCCTGAATAAAAGTAATGATGAAGTGACACATTTTGATTAACTTTGCAGAGCTGTTGGAATAAGCCAACCTAGTGAAGCAGAAACTAGATGTTTTACATTTCTTAGGGTGGAGAAGCCAAATGTAAGACACAACTTCTTGCCAGCTGAGACTTATTTAGGTCTCTTGATTTGAGATTCACATTGACTTTGTATTCCTTCTCTAGAAGCTATCCCTCTCAGAGATTCCTGAGAATGAGTAGACCTGAGGACGGCTACTCTGACTGAAAGATGGTTTACAACCCAATTCCTCTCCAGATTTCTCCCTTCTAAGAGTCTTTCAGGAGTCTGCGCTGAGTAAGTGCAGCAGTCAAGTGCTGTGTCTCAAAATAGTGGCAAAATTTCCTTCCTCCCTTGTTCCTGTCAACAAATATTATTATAACTTCCGTGGAGGAAAGCACTTACAGAAGAGTGGTTATTGAAGCAATCTGTGAATCTGAAATATTCAGTAAATAAAATTAAAGAATTTCTAGACATTATTTTCATCAAATTACATGGTCTGCCTGGCTGATTTATATCTATCTTGAGATCCAACCTTACATATAAATTTCCTCAGAGAATACTTTGCTGATCCTCCATTGTAAAGTAGATCTCCAAGTGGTAATCTCTCAACATTCTTTATTTTTCATTAATAACTCTTTAAACTCTTTAATTGTGCTTGATTATTAGGGGTGCTCATTTATTTAAAATATGTCTTTTCTAAGCTGTGAGTTCTACGGGGGAGGAACCACATAGCTCACGCTTATCACTGTAGCCTGAGCACCAACCAATGCACCTGGCGCCTAGACATTAAGAAACAATTTTGAAACGCGTAACTAAGTCTCTGAAGTTTAGAGAGAAGTGACAGAAGATTTATCTCCAAATTGGGCTCCCAAATTTACTTTAGGTTGATATACTTGTCCTCATAGAGCACAAACAAAGTAAAATTAATACACAAAAAGGTGTTCTTAAAAAGAAAAGCAATGGGAAAAGTAAAAAAAAAAGCAATAAAAATATACTTAAGAATAAGTCTAGCAGAAGAAAAGCAAGGCATGTAGATAAAATGTATGAGGTGACACAAAAAAAGAATTAAATATGTAAAGACCTAGGCTTTTTATAAATGGAAGACTCAATATAGTAGGGTTATCAGTTTCCTGAAAATGAATCAATAAATTCAGTGCAATTCCAACAAAATTTCATAAAAGCTTTTGTAAAATTAAAAGAAAAATATTTAAGTTTATTTATAGGTGCCAAAGATATTTCAAGATAATTTTAAAGTAGATAAAAGGAAGGGAAATTGCATTATTCATCAATAAGATTCATTATAAAGTTATGCAAATTAAAACAGTAAACAGATCAACAGAACAAAGAAAACAGGAAACACTGAAACCTGTATAGGAATTCTGTGTGTCACTATAGTTACATACAGGGGGAAGAAAAGGTATTTAATAAATGATGTTGGCCAACTGGGTCTACCAAAGGGATAAGTTAATATTAGAGTCAAACTTCACATCACAAATAAACATAGCCCAGATGGAATATCTCACACACACACACACACTCACTCACACACACACACACACACACACACACATACACACAAATAAAAGGTGATCTCACAAGTAGGGGGTATATATTAATATGACATTTCATACCACTTTGTACATATTGAATCAGTAATTATTAAAAGTTTAAAGTGCCAGGTATTGTCAAGTATTTGGAAATTCTTATTGTTCACTTGAGTTTAAATTAGACAACTATTTTGGAGGTAAATTTGACAGATTTAACAAAATTGAAGGTGTTCTTAGTTTATGATCAAGAAATTCTACTTTCAGGTGTATTTTATAAAGGAATTTTCACATTGATGAACAGAGTTATAATCAAGAATGATTAATGAAGAATTAAATTAACTAACAATCTGGCTGTCTTAGTTACTTTTCTCATTGCTAAGACAAAATACCCTACTGCCAAAGTTAAAGGGGGAAAGGTTTGTTTAGCTGTCAGTTTGTGGAGGTTTCAGTCCATAATCAGCTGTCTCCAAGGCACGGTGGCACAGGACAGAAGGGCAACACTTCACAGCAGTGGAAAACAGCAAAGAGAACAGAAGAGCGAGAGACAAGCCTCTTTCTGTCCCTTATATTGTATCCAGTCTACCAGGATTATGGTGGTACCAGTCCAATCAGTGGACTGATCCAGCCATCACCCACCCTTAATCCCAAACCCTTACTCCCAGTATTGCACTACAAAACAATCACACACTCTAGATTCAGCTACCTCCAAGAAAAACCCTATGGCCTATTGAGGCTTTGGGGGGACATCTAGACACAAATCATAATGTTGGCATAAATAAACACTAGGAGAGAAATGCATAAATTATGTTATATTTACATGAGGAAATACCATACAGCAGTGTAAAATATACTAAGTAAATTAATTTGTATTCACTTGAATAAATCTTGAAAACAAAATTTTGAGTGAAGAAAGCAAATTGCAAAATGCTGCAATATTACTCATATAAATTTTATGCATACAAATAACAGGATAGATCATTATAAACCCTGTAAAGTTAGAGCAGAAAACTGGAAAATGAAAGCTACACATGAACTTCAGAATAATGGTTAGCTGTTTTAGAAGAACAGAAGTAAAGAGGATGGAATCAGAAAAGGAAAAAAAAGGGCCTTCAACTGCTCTGTAACTTTTTTTTCCTTAAAAAATCCCAAAGAAAAAAACCCCCACATTATCGAAGTTGTTAATGTAGGGTGGTGAATGCGTAGTAGTTTGATGTGGTGCTTTCTGCAGTTTATGTTTGAACATTTTTACTCGAAATAAATAAAATACACAAAATAAAGAATGAAGCAACTAAGTCATGTTTGGCATGCATGAAGTTCTCCTTAGTACACACCTTCTTAAATGATCCACCCTTTCATGTAGTGAAATGTTTAAGAAATTTACTACCTGTGCACTGTGAGATAAGGCACACAAAGAACTCTGCCTGAGGGAACAGGATATTTGAATTCTAATTGCAGCTTTTTTAGTAGCTGTGACTTTGGCTAAGAACTTGAGTCATTCTGAGACTCACTGTCTTGTCCTGGCTGGTTTTGAGTAATTACAATATGGTTATGAAATTCCAAACAGTACCTAATATCTATTTGTAATATTTTTCAAACAATAGCTAATATTTGTTGGGTGCTTGTTAGGGCCAAGCATAAATCCAAATGGATTAATCTATCCAATTCTCATTTTTAAAAATCCCAAATCTTTTGAATTATTATTATCATCCTCATTTTGTGGGTGAGGAAACTGAAGCACAGAAGTTAAATAATCTATTGAAGCTTATTTTGCTAGTAAGTAGGGCGAGGTAGCATAACTCTACATGCTTATGCAGCAACAACCGTGAAAGCAGTGTGTCTTTGTGGAATATGTGGTTTGCAAATATTTTCTCCCACTCTGAGTCTTCTCTCTGGATTCTCACAACAGTGGGGCAAAAGTTTGTATTTTTGATGAATTTAGATTTATAAAAGTTTCCTTTCATATACTACACTTGTGATGTTAAATCCAAGGAACTGGCTGCCTACCCCAACGTAATGAAGGTCTATGTCTGTTTTTTTCTAAAAGGTTTATGTCTCATATTTCAGTGCATGATTGATATTGAGTTCATTTTTGTGTCATGTGTTAGACTTATGTCGAGGGTGCTTACTTTGTTTCTTGTCTTTTTTCTTCTTTCCTTCCTTCCTGCTTTCCTCCCTCTTTGCCCTATCTTCCCCTGCTCCTCACTTGAAACTTTATCGCGCTGGGGAGCACATGTTAAAGAGACTGCCTTTTATCCGGTAAGTTACATTTACCCTTTTGTGGAAATCAATTGGGCTTATTTGTGTGGGTCTTCTTCTGAGTTCTTTGTTCCTTTCCATTGTCTACCACTTAGCCAAGACCAAACAGTCTTGACTTCTGTAGCTATGTAATAAATCCTGAAATTTGGTACACAAATTTCTTCTGCTTCATGCTTTCTCAAAATTGTCATAACTGACCTAACTTTTTTGCAGCTGTGTATACATTTCAGATAATCTTGTCTTTTCTACTCTCTCTCTCTCTCTCTCTCTCTCTCACACACACACACACACACACACACATACACACACACACATGCATACACAGAGACCTTGCTGGGGTTTTGATAGAAATTGTGATCTCTACCTTATACCCTATGCCAAACTGCCTGATTTAAGAAATTGCATTAAACCTGTCAACAGATTTGGAGAGCGTTGTATGTTTACTCTGTTGAGGTGAAGATTTGTGTTTAACACTTTTATGTAAGGAAGCATAGAGGTATCTATATATAACCACAGGCAACCTACCCCTTTCTCTCCAGTATCAAAGTAGCTGGAAATAATTGTACTAGTATTGCTCATCATAAAGTACATGTTCCCAAAAGGATACAGTATCACAGTCTGGGTTCAAAATGCATAAATATCTCACCTTCGTTGTCACAGCATTCTAGGATGGAAGGGTCCTCTCGAATCACTGCAGTCAAAGCATTGACATCTCCATTAGATGCTGCCTGATAAACCATGGTCAGGTCAACTTCCTCACATGAGTCACCTTCATGAAACAGAGACACACTATTAGTGTATAGAGTGAATTCACGCAAAGAATAACAACAACCAATCTTTATCTACACCGTTCATTAAACTTTTCTACTGAATCCAGGCAGAAGGCTGTGTCATCCCAATCATACACTCCCTCACCACTTCTGCAGAAAAGTGGGCCACTGTGGGCAACTGGGACACCACTGTATGCGGAAAAGGAGCCTGAGGAGCTAGATGTTCTTTGATATTTTATGATTCTCTTCCTAGGCCTTCGTATTTCTCAAAATCAGTCAGATCAAATAGAGAAGTAAAGGCCTCGTCTTGGTTCTGGGCTTCCCTTTTTCATTTGAAGCTTGTTATTTGTCTTCTCAAAGACTCAGCTTACCCACCTTTGAGACAGGCCTTGTATCCTCTTTCTCTGTCCTCCAGATGAACTCGGAACCCTTTCCTGACCTGCTACCCTGAGGGCTGAGCCTTGCCCACTGTACCCCACTCTCTCTTGCTTTCTGGCTCTTCTGTAGGAGGCACGGGCAGGAGATTGGGAAGGAGAAGAGAGACAGGCATGGGACAGTCCTTTCCATTCCCACTGAGCACAGTGTTTAGCATTAGCCATCTCTCTCCCACCAGTTCTTCCTCTGCAGAACCAGCTCTCACAGGTCTTCCTGATAATTGCTCCCCCAGGCCAATTCTTCGTCAGTTGTGAGCTAAGTAATGGATTCCTACTGCTTGTCCTTGGAACTCTGTCATCTCTGTATGCTGTCCCTTCATGAAAACCCCTTCATTTCAACTGTCTGAAGTTTTAAGAGATAGTATTTCCAGAAGAAATAGGGCTCCATGCAGCCCCTTGACTTATGAACACTATTGAACCAATAAATAGTACTTCCAGCAGAACTGTGGGTCAAATGACTCCAGGTGTGTGTTTGGGGGAGGCGGACAGGAAAGGTGGGCAAGCAAGCGTTTCTCATGGGTAACCACCGGTGCGATGCTGTGCTGAGCTCCCCTACTTATCCGGTTTCTCCCAGGCATGAACTCCCTGCTTAAGTGTAGTCATTGCTGGGGGAAACAATGTTTTTAAAAGATATCTCTTTTCTGCTGACTTTATGCCAGAACTTTGCATCTCTAATTGATCTTTAGTTGGCAGGAATGCTAATCCTTTGGTTTGTTTTCTCTGTCCCAGTATTTCTGAGAAGTTATTAATGATTTTTAACTAGTTAACCAATACCAGAAGGAACTTTTTTATTGCAAATGATTCACTTACAGCTATGCTGTTTTGTAAGGTGAGTGGCTGTTCTCTAATTTGTCTGGAGTAGCCAGATAACCTGGGTACAAGTCCTGTCTTTACTGACCAGCTGTGTCACTATGGGCCATTTACACTCTCTGTGCCTTTATTTCCTTGTCTTGCGGATATAGCACAGAGGTACAGTGCTTGCTTGGCAAGTGTGAGGTCCTGAGTTCAATTCTGAGTACAAAAAAAAAAAAAAAATTGGAGATGATGATGATGTGACAACTACCTACCTCCTGAGGTTGTTGTGAGAAAAGAAATGAATTAGTATTTAATTGCATATGCTTTTACAACAGAGCTTGGCACATACTAAGCACTGTATAGGTTTTGCTACTCCTACTGCTCCTTTTTGAAAAATCATTTTGTCTTACCTAAACAACATTAGAAATCTGGGACATGTATAAAAAAAGATCTATTGATAATAGCTAACGGAGAACCCATACAATGCATAGAATATTAACTTTTTATCAAAAACCTTCCCAGGTGTTAGACATCGTGTTAAGACAGCCCACAATACCTTTTGGTACCAGAAATGGGGCCCAGATTTAAGAACAAAGATGGACCTGCTATCTGGTTATATGAGCTCATCCAAAGGTCCTGGTGATGTCACCTTGAAAGGCAAATGGTGGCGGGCCAAGGAACTGCCAAAGGTGACAATAAAACTAGAGGTTTGTATGTCTCTATGTTATATAATGTGCTTATGTACCATACATAGCTCTACTTATGCAATGCAACAAAATATGTAAGGCACATCCGTCACACTGTGGAGGTGTGTTGCCTGATAGAATGAAGAGCCTCAAGACACCTTACCAGAAGGATTCAAATAAGAACACATCTAATAAGAATAAGTGGAAAGTAAGATATATTAGCCCATGAAATACTCAGTTGAACTAACTGAAGATTTTTTTTTGGTACCCGGAATCAAACTCACGACCTCGCAACCTAATGCTTGCCAGACAGGCACTGTGTCGCTGAGCTATATCCCCCACCCTAATTGAAGAAAGTTGAAACAAAACTTTTTGATGCCCAACCTCCCCTCCCTCTGATGTTAACCTTACCCAAGTTATTCTGAGGACCACCTCTGCTCCACTTTCAGCCCATAATCTGATTCAGTGAAATTGACTATATCATGGTCAGGGCATGGAAGCTGTGACCTAGAACAAAGCTACTCAGTCTTTGCGTTATCCTTCCTACAGAGACTGATTCAAGGATGCAACCCAGCTGCACAGTCCATACTTTGACTGGGATTGTTGAGCATAGTGCTTTCACTTTGTGGCATCACTCGTGAACCTGGGAGCATGGTGGCGCCATATGCATGGAGAACCTATCTAAGCAGAAAGATGACCAAACAAGGAGGGCAGCAGAGCTAGGTTAAGAGAAGGAAATGGTTGAGGGCTGGGGACATCATCTAAACTTTGAAACAAGCCATATATATATATATATATATATATATATATATATATATATATATATATATATATATATATTCAGCCAGCGCCATCTCTAGGACATTTACATGCGCCAACAAACTCCCATTTTGCTTAAGCCAGTTTGCATGGTTGTGTGTGTATGTCTTGGTTTTCTTTTCAGTCGCTGAAAGAGCTCTGACCAATAAATGGTTTTAGCAGTGGCACATTAGAAAAGAATTTAGATTTTAGATAATTGGCTCCAAGGAATTAGCAATGTTTTAATAGACTGGTAGGAACTCTTGCCGAATTATTGATGGTCTAGTAATTATATTGAGAGAGGTGATAGGGCCTTTGAATTCACAATCAGTCAGTCTGATTGAGGTCTATGGGGTGTGGATTAAATGGGGCTACAAGTGGATGGAGAACATTCAGAGAAGAGTAACCAGAGGTGGAATGGGTTTTTCTCATGTCATGTGAGAAATAATTGAGGGAAATAGATGTGTTTACTCTGGAGATTACTCAATAAGGTCATGATGGGAGCCTTTACATATATGAAGAGTTTTAAAAATAAAAAAACTATGGTAAAATACGCAAAACATGAAATTTACCATTTTAACCATTAGGTATATAGTCCTGTGGCATTTTGTATGTTCACATTATTGGACAGCCATCACCACCAGCTCTAGAACTCTTTATATTTTCAAAAAGTTGTAACTATTCTTTCTAACACCAATCCACTTTCTATGTCTATGGATTTGACTATCTCTATATCTTATACATGTGGAATCAACAGTTGTCTTTTTATGACTAGCATATTTCATTCAATAGAATGTCTACAGGTTTTCCATGTTGTAGTATCTGTCAGATTTTCCTTCCTTTCTAATGCTGAATAATATTCGACTGTATGTATGTATCATATTTTGCTTATCTTTTCATCTGTTGGGGGACATTTGTGTTTTCATCTTTTAACTTTTGTGAATAGTGCGGCCATGGAAATGGTTATACAAATCTTTTTGAGACCCTGTGTTCAGTTGTGTGTGTGTGTGTGTGTGGGGTATATTCTCAAAGGTGGAATTGCTCATTTATGAGATAATTCTATTTCTTTATAGGACAAGTGTTCAATTCTTTGCTCACTTTTCACTAGGATTTTTGTTGTTGATGCTGAGTTGTAGTACTTTATATACTCTGGATATTAATCCTTTATCAGATAGCTTGATTGCAAATATTTTTTCTGACTTCCGTGGTCTTGATTGTTTTGTTTGATGCACAAGAGTTAATAAATCTTTATATAGTCTATTTTGTCTCCTTTTTTTTTCTTTTGCTGTCCATGGTTTTGGCATCATATTTAGGAAATCACTGTAAAATCTAATGTCATGAAGCTTTCCTCTATGCCTTTGTCTAAGAATTTTATACTTTTAGATCTTATGCTTGGATCTTTGATCCATTTTCAGTTAATTTAAAAATATAGTGTAAGGCAAAAGCTAAGTTTCACTCTTTGCTATATGACTCTAGTTGTGTAAACACTATAAACTGAAAAATATCATTCTTTCCCACAGAATGGTGTTCACTTTGATGGAAATTAGTTGACCACAGGTGTTAACTCTCAGTTCTACTCCATTTACCTACACCTTATGTCGATCTTTATGCAGTACCATGTTTTTTGATTACTGTAGCTCTATAGTAATCTTTGAAATCAGTGAGACGTTCCAACTTTGTTTTTCTTTTATGAAATTCATTTGACTATTTGAGTCTCTTGAGATTACATGATCTGTCTTGAGGTTAGGATGAATTTTTTTATTTCTGTAGAAACACTGAGATCTTGGTAGAGATTCTATTAAATCTACAGACTGCTTTGGGTGGTGGTGACATCTTCACAATATTAAGTCTTCTAATTCAGGATACACAGATTTTCTTTTATTGGCATCTTTAAATTTTTTTAGTAATTTAGCAATTTAGTTTTGTATGTACATCATTGCCTCCTTGGTTAAGATTATTTCTAAGTAATTTATTATTTTTTAAGTTGTACTTACAATTGATTTTCAAAGGGCTTTTCAGCAGACATTTTGTGGTTAAATTTCTCTGAAAAACCTCGGCATTTAGAAATAGCAGTGGGTATGAGAGAAAGGCATGTTTTTAGGGTTTTGTAAATGTTCCAGTTCACCACGGGAGGCAATGATCTTTCTGTTATTGAAGATGGCCAGTCTAGTTGAGAAGATCACCACAGAACCATGTTTAGGAGGAATTCAGAGACAGAGCGAAGCACAGGTACGGAGGGGCGGAGTCTGGGAGGCAGAACAGAAAGGACTTCACAGATCCTGCTGG